AAAAAAAAAAAAAAGTCAGGGAGAGGCAACATGTTGGAGGTTGGAGGGAGGGGCAACAAGCCAAAGAAGGTGTGCAGGCCTCTAAAAGCTGGAAAGGGCCTGGAGACGGACTCTCCCCCAGAGTTCAGAAAAGGGATAGTCCTGGGGCCGCTTTGGTGTTAGCCGCGAGATTCCAGTTGGAATTCGGACCTCCAGAACCGTAGGCCATAAATGTGTGTTGTTTGGCACCAGATCTGCAGTGATTTGTCACAGCAGCCACAGGAAACCAATCCAGAAGGAAAAGAAGTGACACAGCACTAACCTCTGTGGACCCCTGTGAGAACTAAAGGTAGTCAGCTCAGCTCAGAAATCACAACGCCTGGGGACCAGCAGTTAGCGTAATGGCTATGTCACTGGACTCCCACGTAGTCGACCGCGGTTTGAGTCCTGGACCTGGTGGCTTAAACTCACGCTTGGGCGCGTGTGTGTGCGTGCCTGAGATCCTGAGAGGAGAATGGATGAGAAGGGATTGCAGCATAGCCATCCTTCCCTGGGGGGGCTGGAGGGGAGATTTCTCACGTTCTGTGTCTCTTTCTGACAAGTGCATGCCCCCTATAGCAAAAACCTCTAAAAAAAAAAAAGAAGAAGAAAGAAAGAGAGAAATTACAACACTCAAGCTTCAAATTCAGTCTGACAGAAGGGCCTTGCTCATCTCTTGCCAGGCAGAGCAAGGGGTTCGGCCCCCTGCCTGCCCGCTGAGGACATCGACCCCCCCACCACCACAGGAAGGCCCTGAGGCACTGAACCCGGCACCTCCCTGCCCTTCTTGGGACCTTTGACCTTGAGCCTCCTTACCAGGCAGAGGCCAGAGCAGTGAGGATTAAGGGAGAGTCTTGGGAGGGACCGGAAGAAATACAGGCGGGGCCCAGGTCCTGACCCAGATGCCAGGTGCGGCCTGAGCCTTGGGGAAGGCAATAAGCACCCCAGGGACAGCTCCAGGGGTACCACCTGCTTCTGGCTGTGGGATTCCCAGAAGGCAGTTAACCCCTCTGAGCCTCAGTTACCCCATCTGGAGAGTGGAGAAGAGTCCCAGAAACAGCTGGTTGTGAGACAGCTCTCACTCAGATGCAGCCTTTTCCCTTCCTCCTCTCTCTGCTTCCCTTCCCTCCTCTTCCTTCCCTCCCATTGCACCTCCCCACAGGGACCGAGCAAAGGAGCCCTGACCCCCACTCAATCCAGATTTAGGCTAGACTCCCTTTTCACCAGTTCTGTCCTCAGGGACCGAATAAAGAGGAGACAGTGTCACACGTTGGGGCGGAAAGATTAAAGCCAAATCCCAGGCCCGCCACCTACCAGCTGTGAGAACCTGGACTAATGACTTCATCTCTGAGCCTCCATTTCCTCCTCTGGAACCCGGTGATGAGGTGCCCTCCACGCTCCACGCTCACAGGGCTGTTTACTGAGTACTAGATGAATAACCATGTAAACTATTTAGCGAGGACTGGAAACACAGTAAGTACTTAATAAAGGTGATCATTAAATTCCCTTTAAGCCCCACCCCCCACACACGCACACAGACAGCAAGATGCCGGGGCCATCCGGATAGACTGCTTACTAAAACCCACTGTGCGAGAGGCCAGCAGGTGGCAGGGTGGTTAAGGCATTAGACTCCCACATGGCCGACTACCGTTTGGGTCCCGGACCCGGCGACTTGAAATTCACACCAGGCACATATGCACGCAAGCCAAAAATCCCAGGAGGAGACTGGAGATGGGCCATCCCCTAGGGAGATGCGCTCTCTCCCTCTCTCTCTCTGTCTCTCTCTCCACAGTGAGCACATTTCATCCTTTGGCGAAAACCTTAAAAAACATAGCGGTTAAGGTGATAGACTCTGACATGGCCAACCGCAGTTCCAGTCTCAGACTCAGTGGCTTGAAACCCATGCCAGGCGCAACTACATGCGTGCCCAAGAGGAGAATGGAGGAGAAAGAAGTGCGACATGGCCATCCCCCATGGAGGGTTGTTTCTCTTTTTCTGTCTCTCTGTCTCTCTTTGAGGGGGTTGTATCTCTTTTTCTGTCTCTCTGTCTCTCTTTGTCTCTCTGGCAAGCACATGTGCCCTATAGCAAAAATCTCTTTTAAAAAATTAAAATTTTAAAAACCGATGTGTAAGGGCAGGTGGTGAGGCAGCAGTAAGGTGACTGGCCCCACACGGGAAGGTCCCCACTTCTCGTGGTCCCACTTCCTCTCCCTCTACACACCAGGGCCCCTGTTGGGGTGCCTCTCTCTCTCAGAAATAAACAAACATTAAAAAAAAATCTTTAAAGGATGAAAAGATCAAATAAAAAGAAAGAAAGAAAAAAAAAAATACCTGTCATGTGTAGTGTCCAAGGAAACCATGGTGCAGAGAGAACGGAAGTCCTTTCCAGGGGGAGGAGGGGTTGCCTCTGTGGATTACAAGGGAGGTAGGATGGAGCTCCAGAAAGGGGCAGGCGGGCAGGCGGCTGCAGCCACAGACCACAGGCCCAAGAGCCTGAGCCCCAGGCTGCCTTCTGGGAAAGGTGAGCAGGCGGGGAGGAAGGCACAGAGGCAGGACCTGGAGGCCCTTCTGCTCAGCCGTGGTTCCGAGTCCCTGCTCTGTCCCACACTGTGCTGTGTCTCAGTTTCCAAGTTGTTTAGTCCTCACAACAGCTCTCTACAGCCCGCCATTATCATCTCCATTTCACAGAGGAGAAACTGCACCCCAGACGGCCCGAAGGTAGCAGCTGGGTCCAGACAGAGCGGAGTCTAAAAGCTGGTGCTCAGACCCAGTGTCTGGTTGCCCGCGCTCCTCCTGCCTCAAGGCACACGCCAGCAGCCGCCTGGCTCTGCAGGTCTGCTGGAGGCCCCAGCTGCTGCACTGCGTTCCCCCCTCCCGCTCCCCAGGAAGCTGCCAGGTGCTGCCGCCACGGACCACACCTGCAGTCTCCACGCTCTGTACTGCCTCTTAAGAAGGGGTCGCGATTGTTACTATAAATAATGAGTTTTGCCAGATCCCGTGGCAGAACTGGGAGACCGCAGCTTAATTTGAGGTCCCAGAGCAGGCAAATGGGGCCCACGATTGCACCTCTACACCAGGGTGCCAAGAAACAAGGGTGCCTGCAACCACCTCGTATACGATGAGCTGCTCACTTGGGGCCACAAGACGTCGCTTTGGGAAGTGTAGGTTTCCGTGGGGAGGGTCGCTTGCATGCCCGCCCCCTCCCTCCTGCAGGTCCCTTGGTTGGGTGGGGACCTAGACCAGCCGCCCCCGATCACACACCAGATGAGACACCGACAGCCAATGGGCTCCGGCGTTTCTCCGCGCCCCGG